TGTCAGATATATTCCAGATCTGAAGAAGAATTTGATTTCCATGGGCATTCTACACAGAAATGGTTTTATTTCTAAGGCAGATGAGGATAGGGAAACTATCATAATTGTTAAGGGTGCATTGACTATAATGAAAGGAAAATTGACTGCAGGTAATATCTACAGACTGTTGGGGAGTACAGTTGTAAGTGGAGTTCATTCTGTAGAGTCATATGATGATAGTACAAAGTTATGGCATATGCGACTAGGTCATCTCAGTGAACGTGAGATGACAGAATTGCATAGACGGAACCAGTTGTGTGATCCTGTTGCATGATGTTAAAAGCTGCAAGCTCGATCTTTGTAACTTTTGTATTCTTGGAAAACAGACTAGAGTTAGTTTTATGACTTGAAAACACATAACTGAAGGGATTCTTGATTATGTGCATTATGATGTATGGGGCCCCACTAGAGAGTTGTCATTGGGAGGATCTCAGTATTTTGTTACCTTTATTATGATTTCTCCAGAAAAATTTGGGTGCATTTCTTAAAGCAGAAATCTGAAGTATTCTTTAAATTCAAGCTGTGGAAAGCTGAGGTGAAGAACCAAACTGACCGAAAGATCAAGTATTTGAGATCTGAAAATGACATAGAGTACACAGATTCACATTTTCAGAAGTTCTATGAGGAGCATGGGATTCAGAGGCATTTTTTAGTGCGCAAGACACCACAGCAGAATGATGTGGCAGAAAGGATGAACAGGTCCTTAACTGAAAGGGTAAGGTGTTTGAGACTGAATGCAGAGCTTCCTAAGAGTTTCTGGGTAGAGGGTATGAAATGACATGTTATCTCATCAATAGATCACCTCGAGCATCATTGGGTGACAAGGTCGCAGAAGAGGTATGGACAGGTAATCCATTTAAATTTGATCATTTATGGATTTTTGGTTGTCCTGCTTATGTGCATGTACCTGGAGATGAAAGATTCAAACTTGATGCAAAATCCAAGAAGTGCATCTTTTTGGGCTACAAGAAAGGTGTGAAAGGATACAAGTTTTAAAAGTTGGCGATCAGTAGAGATGCATTTTTTACGGCAATTTATGTTACAGCAGAATCAAAACAATGTGTCAGAGAAGAGTTACAGTTCCAGTTCAGATGCACAGATGCAGTGCATATGGATTTAGAACAACAGTTAGTAGCTTCTGAGAGAGGTGAAAGTTCAAATCCAACACTTGGTGATTCTATCCCAGATGTTTTACAAAACTATAACCTAGCCAGAGATAGACAGAGACGCACCAATATAAGACCTCTTAGCAGATTGGGTTATGAAGACTTGGTCTCTTATGCACTTCTCATCAACAGCGATGATCCAGCCACTTTTCAAGGAGCTGTCACTAGCCAGGAGAAAGAAAAACGGATGGTGCAATAGTTGAGGAGATGGAGTCTTTGTAGAAAAATTGCACTTGGGAGCTAGTTCAACTTCCAGAGGGAAAGAAGGCTATTAAGTGCAAATGTGTCTACAAAAGAAAACCAACAGTATCAGAAAAAGAAGGGGAAAAAGTTCAAGCTCGACTGGTTGCAAAGAGATTTTCACAAGAGAAGGGGATAGATTATAATGAAATATTTTCTCCTGTGGTCATAAATACTTCAATCAGGGCAGTGCTTGCATTAGTAGCTATTTGGGATTTGCATTTAGAGCAGATGGATGTTAAAACTGCTTTCTTGCATGGTGATCTGGATGAGCAGATTTACATGGAGCAGTCAGATGGGTTCACTTAACCTGGACAGGAGCATCTGATTTGCAAGTTAAAGAAATCGTTGTATGGGTTGAAATAGTCTCCAAGACAATGCTACAAGCAGTTCGACTCCTAAATGATTCAGATTGGCTACATGCGATGTGAGTATGATTGTTGTTTTTATGTAAAGAGTCTTGATGATGGTTCTATTATTTTTCTGTTACTGTATGTTGACGATATACTAATTGCTGCAAAGAATATGAATGATGTCCGTGGTTTGAAAACTTTATTGAGCCAGGAATTTGACATGAAAGACTTGGGTCCTACGAAGAAGATTCTTGGAATGGAGATTCATCGAGACAGAGACTCAAGACGATTATGTTTATCTCAACGAGGCTATGTTGAGAAAGTGATGGAAAAGTTTGAGATGAGTAAAGCAAAACCTGTAAGCACTCCTTTGGCAAAACATTTTAAGCTTTCTTCAAAACAGTGTCCTAAGACAGATACAGAAATCGAAGACATGACAAAAGTTCTATATGCCAATGCAGTTGGCTGTTTGATGTATGCAATGATATGTACTCGTCCTGATTTGGCTCATGTTGTTAGTCAAGTCTGCAAATACATGACTAAACCTGGAAGGAGACATTGGGAAACAGTCAAGTGGATTTTTAGGTATCTAAAGAGTACTGTAGGACATGGAATTATTTTTGGCAGTCAGCAGAATGATCCTTCAGTTGTGGGGTACGATGATTCAGACTATGTAGGTGATTTAGATGGCAGAAGGTCTACAATTGAGTATGTGTTTACTCTTGGTGGAGGGCTTATATGTTGGAAATCAACAATTCAATCTATTGTGACATTACCTATAATTGAAGCTGAGTATATGGCAGTAGCTGAAGCTACTAAATAAACCTTATGACTTACTGGGCTAGTAAAGGAATTGGACATTGGGTAAGATAGAGTTCAGTTGCAATGTGACAGTCAGAGCGTTATTTATCTGGACCAGGTATACCATGCGAGAACCAAACATATTGATGTCAAGTATCACAAGATCAGAGAGTTGATTGCTTCCGGTGAGATATTGTTATAGAAGGTTCATACTGATGAGAATGCAGCTGATATGTTAACCAATCCAGTTACTATCAACAAGTTCTTGAATTGTTTGGACTTTTTGAATGTTTGCAGTTGCTAGAGAAGCATGATGACTCAACCCACTTCTAATATGAAAGGAACACCATGATGTATTTCTCCTAAGGCGTTGGATATTCGCCAAGGTGGAGATTTGTTAGATATGACTCATATAACATAAATTGACAGTGTTAAATCAAAAGCGGAGCAGAGTAGAAGATTCTGTCCAAATCAGTGGAGTTTCCTTATGTAGGTTGGGGTTGTAGTACATGGGTAATTTGATAATTACATATTGTATCAAATGTTTCTTTTTTATGTACTTTCTAGGGCTATAAATCAGGCTTGAATATAACCCTAGGGATAATCCCTCTATTCTGTAACTTTTTTCTGAATATTGAAAGGAATTTGCCGCTCTGCTCCCGAGGATGTAGGCATCTTTGCCGAACCTCGTTAAATCTTCGTGTTCTTTTGGATTTGTGTCATTCTTATTTTTCTTCACCCTTATTTTTTCAACCGCAACGAGTGTTTTATGTCTATAATTATCTTAGCTATCAGTGAGAAATATTTGATACTTAACTATGCCGATACTTTTTGTCAGAAACCCATAATAACTTCGGGTATTCTGGGTTGGAATTTGGATGACATCATTCTTTTGGGTATTAGCCACCTAATAGCTTGCTCTCTCTAAAAGAAATGATTAAGTTGACTTTCAAGGAACCTTCCTTCAATCAGTTTGATGATTACGCTTTGTAAAGATAAAGCTTGTTTATTTAACACCAATACAGTAATAATTCTACCTTAATCACAAGAGCTCAAAATTGTAATTTTTGGTGACTTCCTATGTGCTGTGTGCGAAATCAAATGTAAAACAAGTTTCCAGCCATGGGAACGCGCTTTAGGTTGACGATAGTATTTTTGGCTTCCCAAAATTTCTTTTCCTATACTATGAGCTGTGTGGTAAATTCGGCAGGTAAATCATAAAATTTTACTAAGCGAATATTAGGTGTTGTACGTCACAAATGTGGCAACACGAATCTACAGAAAATCCAAAACACCAAAAGACGGGAAGGTGTGGTGATCCACAGACGAAAGACTAAAATACCCCAAAATACTAGGATCAAGGGACTTAATTGATCAAGCTCAAAACCGCCGAATCGGGGCACTAAGAGGAACAAACACAGGTCATCTGAGTCAAAGACCAAGATCTATCAAACTAAGAGAATACTCAATCCCACTCTCACCAAATATTGTCACTCACACAGGTCATCTGAGCCAAAGACCAAGATCCATCAAGCTAAGAGGATACTCAATCCCACTCTCACCAAATATTGTCACTCATCTAATAAGAGTCCAAGACTCTTCAATCGAAGGCTGAGAGGTTATTATAATATATTCCAAGTGTATCCCAAAGACTCTATTAAGATGAGCTACTTCTCGGATTACGGTGATCCACTCTCTTCCTGACACCATAGTTTCATCCTATTGACAAAAGTTCTTTCTCCTAGGATAGATAGTCAACAGTTGAACTAGAGACGTCGACGGGTAGCCCCGGGCCGACCGAGTCAAGTCCAAACCACCAAAGATGATCAACAGCCGACTGACAACCCCAACTCAACATAGCCGGACGAACAAACCTTATCAAACAAAGGCCCGTTGATCTCGGCCGATCGAGTGATAAGGCAGCCAAACCATAGGCTCAAGTATGTAACTACCTAAAATATCATATAGTTATGGTGCTCCTATTAAAACATAAGCAAGCATGTAATTATACACATTATATCTCCTATCCTGTAAATAGAAATCATTTCATTAAGTATCTATTTCACTAGTTATTGATACGTGCTCTACTCTCTCTCTCTTGGGTGTCAATCTCTGACAAATTTGAATTCTAATGTCTGAATATATTCAGATCTTACAAAGTATAAAGAATACAATATGTATAATATAATGAGTACAATACTGTACTCGTATTTATAGGAGCATTTTGAGTATCAATCCACTTGCCAAACCTCAGCAGAATAATTAAATCCAGTACGGATCATTAACAGCACTGGCCAACGATGCCCTTCATTTTGTTTTAAACCTAAAACCCGATCGGAAGGCTGATCACGACAACAGCCAGCTTTCGGCAATACCGCGTAGAAGAAAGCTGCGTCTTCGCTGCCCTCCGGTCTCACCATCCTCAACATCCAAACCTCACCGCGTTCTCTAATGCCCTAATTCTAGACTGGCCCAATGTCTTCTATATATAAACTCTTAACATCAGAGCACTCACTCACCCACCAATCTCACGAGAAAGACGAATCTTTTTGCCATCATGGGAAAGAAGATCAAGTCTCCAGCTGCTCGCCGCCGTCTATGGCATCTCCTCCACCTCGCACTCCTCTGGGCTCGAAAAGGAGACGCATTCAAGCGTCTCTTCATCGAACTCCGCCTCCTCCCTTCCTACCTCAAGAATCTCCGCCATGGCAACGCCGCTAACCGCCTCCGCTACTGCGAGCGAGAATTCTCCTTTGAAGACACTCCCGCTTTTCACCTCAAGTTTAACCGGCTCGCCCGAATCCCCTGCATTGCACCATCCGTTAGCTTTGATGACGATGAGGAGATCTTCGTCGAGAGGAGTAAGGCTTTGAGGCTCTGGGCTGCTGGAGCTGGTGAGGAAGATGAGCATCATGATGATGAATTGGATGCCGGCAGTTCATCATCGATGTCGGATTTGGAGGCGGTGGAGGATGGGCGGGAGGAAGGAGATGGAGAGATAGAGATTGATTCAAGAGCAGAGTGCTTCATCATGAAGTTCTATGAACAAATGAAGCTGCAGCGACAGATTTCATATCTGGAGTACAATGACATGCTTCATCGAGGAATGAGCTCTTAGTTTGCTACGAATAAATTTTTGGTGAGGGCGTAAATGATTTAATTCGGTTGTTTCATCTCTGCTGATATATGAGAGATCAAAATCAAGTAAAATATTAAGAGATTTAAATATCAATCATTCAAAATATTAAATATAACATATTTTCTTCGCTTTCTCACTTTGGTCGCCATGGATTTGTTGATTCTTAGCACTGAAGGATAAGTGCAGATTGCCGAGCATTTCACTCTTGTCCTTAGTGCTTAGAGGAAACAACTATGTTGCGTGGAGCAGAGCCATGGTAATTTCTGTCTCCGCTAAGTATAAGCTAGGATTTATTGATGGTTTCATAGCTAAACCAAAAGATGTTGATTCTGATCTTGCAAAATCTTGGGCAAGAAACAACAATATTGTCATTACTTGGATCTTAAACTCAGTCTCCGAAGAAATCACAGCAAGTATAATATACCTGGTAAATGCATTAGAGATTTGGATCAACCTAAAAGATCAATTTCAGCAGTCCAATGACCCCCCAGGATGTTAAAATCAAGACAAATTAATCAACCACAGACAAGAACAGAATTATGTCAATGATAATTACTTCACAAAATTGAAAAGCATATGGGATGAACTTAATTTTTGGATCCATGTGTAGTTGCGATAAATGCACTTGTGGAGTCGTCAAACAGCTTACATTACATCATCAGATCGAATAAGCAATGTCTTTTCTTATGGGAATAGATGAGTCAATCGCTTCGGTGGGAGGCTAACTGCTCTTGATGGAATAAACAAGCTTTTATCTTATTTTATTTACTATGAGTTAAAATTTTAATTTGATTTAATATAAATGAGTTTTAAATTAAACTTTAAGTGAATATATTCACAAGGTATTAAACTAAGCTCTAACTAATCTTATTCATAAGCATTAATTTGAGTTGGAGCTTCTTAACAAGCTTGTTCGTGAGCTTTAAGTGTATTGTTCATGAATAAAAATGAATCAAACAATGAGATATTCAAACTTGTTCATTTAACAATCAAGTAATTATGAAAGTGTTCAAGCTTGTTCAATTAGTTAATCAAAAGAACATGAACGTGCTCTTATCGAGCTGAGCTGTGAGTAGCTCATCAAATAATTAGTTCATTTACAGACATATTTAAGGTCAATTAGGGTTGACATAGTCAATCAGATTGTAGTAAGCCCCGTAGTCTCCTAGGAGTCTAAGGAAGGGTCTAGACTCACTAGAAAAGAGTAAGGCACTACACTTGGTTTTGAATGTCTAAAGGTTGACATGAAACTAATTGTGCTTAGATTGAATTTGGGTTCCATTAACATGGACTTACTTTTAGACTACTAGCTATATTGAATGAGACAAAGTTCAAATTGAGACTTGATGTCTCATCAACAAATTTTCATCAATAAATTTTATCAAGCATGAATCTCAATGCAATCTTGGTAAAGGATCTTTCAAAGGCCTTAATTTTAGCAACTTTATAGTCAAACTCACCACCTCAATTAGACGAACCAAATGGTATCAAAATTGGTTCAATCCAAATCCAATTAAGCTCAGATCAAGCCGTTGAAGCACATTTAGAGGTTTTGGATGATTGATTGAATTGTCAAATAAACTCCAAATTTAATATTTTATATTAAAGTCAAGCATCTTAAAGAGAAAAATCTAACAAGCCCAAGATCGCTAAATTCGAAGGTTCTTAAGGCACTCAAAATCCTTAATAAAATCACCTATGATTAAGGGAGTTCAACACAAACCATCCAATTAGTTACATGCCAATAATATCAAAATGGCCCACCCTAAAAGACTATAAATAGGCCACTTCTTTTCACTTGAGAGGAGGATGAGCATGGCATGATTAAGAGAAGGTCCGATGAATACTCACCGATCTTCGTAGCAGCTGGCCACCATCGCTCATTAACCACCGTCAACCACCACCTGCCTTCATCCCATGTCATCGCGGACTACTGACCATTGACGACTACTACTTGCAACCATTGTAGTCAGACTACGACCTTTATGACCAACTATTACTATCACAATTTCTAATTATGATCTGTGGTCAATTGTTATTATTACAACCACCAACTACAATTTTTATGGCCAACTACTATCTTTATAACACAACTATAGTCTTTGTAGTCATAACTACTACTATTAAAATTTCTAACTACGACCTCTGTGACTAACTGTCACTATTGCAAACACCGACTATAGCCTTTATGACCAACTTCTATTTTTATAGCAACCAACTATGATCTTTGTAACCAACTACTATTGTTATAGTTTCCAACTATAACTTTTGTAACTAACTACCATTATTACAACCAACGAATACAACCTTAATGGCGAACTATTACATTTAGAGCAACCCTCTATCACCTTTGTATCTAACTAATGCTATTAAAACTTCCAACTGCGACATATGTGGCCAAGCAACGCTACTGCAGCCACCGACAACAGCCTTGATAGCCAACTACCATCTTTGTAGAAACTAGCTACCACATTTATGGCCACATATTGATATTGTAGTCAAGCACAACATTTATTGTAGACCCATTATGGCTATTATAGTTAATCTAATATTGCACATTTATGATTATCATCTTTATAATTCCATATTCTCTAATTCATGAGAAGAGTTGAACTAAATACTTATAATTACATAGTTGATTACGTTGACTTGGCTGAGCCCCATGATCTTTTTCTCTTATAGAGGTTTTCCATGTAAAAATCTTGGTGTCTCCATTTGCTAGTTTTAATTTATCTGTGTGTGTTTTGGAACATCATGCAATGCTAAGACTATATGAAGATGTTCATTAGTAGAATTCAAGTTCATTGGTTGAAGTGAGGAATGCTTAAGGCCTATTCTGTGATAGAAAACTAATGCTTAGGCTGAAAAGAAAATTTGATAAGATGGTGGTGAGGCCTACAATGCTCTATGAAACAGAATGTTGGCCGTTAAAAGAAGTCTAAAACTAAATTAAATGTTGTTGAGATGAGAATTAAGTTAAGTGTTGTCGAGATGAGTATTCTTAGGTGATGAGTGGCTTTACACTTAGAGATAAAATGCAAAATAAATATATTTGTGATAGGGTTGGTGTAGCTCCAGTGGCGGACAAAATTAGAGAGAGTCGTCTTAGATGGTTTGGTCACATTAAACGCTGACCATCTGATGATCCAGTTAGGAGGGTAGATGTTTTAGATTTGACTTATGTTAAGAAAGATAGATGTAGACCTAAAAAGACTTGGGCATATTGTATAAAAAATGATTTTAACTTATTAAAATTAAATGAAAATATGACTATCAATAGGACACAATGGAGAAGTAGGATTCATGTAGCCGACCCCACTTAGTGGGGGAAAAGTTTGTTGTTGTTGTATTGAATTATTTTAACTGGGTCAGAATCTTTCCTTTTCATGATTTTTTAATGTAAAAAATATTCGCTGCTTCTTTTTATTTGTGTGTATTATATTTTCGTGCAACACTAACACGTTAAATATTACTCAACCACAATAACTTTTCTAGTACACAACAATGCTATAGCTAGCACTTGTTAAATATTAACATATAATTTATTTCTATGCCCAAGTGCAGTATTTACCGGGCTCTTGTACCACAAAATTAAACCTAAAAATAAGAACCGTAAAGATACGGCTAGACATTATAATGTGATTCGTTAAACATCTGTTCCAATGGTTCGAAATTGAAGATTGTTTTTCCAATGTCGATTCTAGCTATATATACTGTGATTTAACGCCTAACATCCACAGAGAAAATCACTTCAAAATAATTGTTTGAAATAAAATATTCTGTTAATTTTATTTGAAATATGCATCTGATCCATACAAATTAAAGCATCCTTATTATTTATTCAAATCATACGATTAATGCCATGTGTCATCAAAACAAGCTGCTCGCGGGCAACTTATAAGTGCAGGGTGTTTTTGAAAATGCAACGGTACCGTTAGGTTCCAGCATTTTGTCTGCTTTTTTTGAAAACGCAGTTCCCCCGAATCCTTATCCCGCAGTCCACTTTTCAGGATAAACGGGCATCAAAAGCACCCTAAGCCTAGCTCAGCTACAAATCCTTATTCCGATTTCTTTTCAATTCGAATATATATAAAAATTGGAAGTTTTACTTCACCATCGAAAGAAGCTTCAGTACACGAACAAGGAATATATATAAATATAAATATAAATAAATATGTATATATATTATAAAAAAAACAAATAAGATTAAAAAAAAAAAAGAATTCCTAATTGGACTCCAATCTAAAATGCCCACCGAATCTCCTGTTCCATCTCCTCTCAACACCGTCGCCTCCTACTATCCATGAAGAAGCTTGGAGCACTTACCTTTGATCCACCGCATCCCTTTACGCAACGATGACTTAACCTTCTCCTCCACGGAATACAACTTATAACCGGCCACCCTCCGCCGCCGCTTCATCTCTGGATCTTTTAAGGACCACCTCGACGTCGCCGGCTTGCCGGTTCCTCTTTTGAGCGGAGGCGGGTAATCCGATGAGCGGGGGTAAGTGAGGTAAGGCGTTTGAGCGGCGCTATAGTTCTTGCCGCTGACGACCTCGAGATGACGGCGATCGCCATTGGAAGTGGTATATGATAGGCGGGCGGAGCGGAAATGGCTCATTGGAAGGGATGGTAGAGCGGCGGGTGGGAGGCGAAGGTGGGTGGAGGTGGATCTCGAGAGGGAGGAAGGGTTGGCCTCGAATCGAATTGCTAGTTTTAGGGCGGGGGAACCTTTTTAGGGTGAGATTAGGTTTTATTTGGGGAAAAAGACAGCGGGGAGTGAGAGAAATTAACGGAAATGGACGGTGGGGAGAGAAACATTTGTTACCACGTGAGATCCTAATTAAAGTAATCGACTTCGAACTTAGAAAATATTGAGTCCGAAACGTCCAAACAGTCACTCATCGGATGTCATTTCCTCATGAATGAGATGTATAGTAATGTGACCCCCTATCTATGAGTGGTCATGGCATCTAAACGTAATATTTTCTCCTTGAATGGAAAATTTGTCGGCATCATTTTTTTATGTCACGAGTGTAGAGTGTTTACCTGAGTGGTTTGAGATGGTTCACGGTTCGTCCCTAGCATTCGGTAGCTCAAGACATCCACCCGGGAGTCTCTAGCGCTTATTCAGGGCAAGAAGTTAGGTTTGGCGGCGATTCAACCGTACCCAGGAGAACCTATCGTCAGGAAGGTTCACTCAGGATTTGA